TTAGAAAAGCAGATGTTCTTAATACAAGAAGGGCTTATTGATAAGTTTGTTTTAATACTGTGTTTTTGCAGGAGGATATTTGATGATCTTTAAATTTCTCTAGAAAGTTAAGAAAAAAATTTTAAACAAATCTATATAGCTTAAACATTTTAATAAATATTGTAAGTCCTTTGAATGGCTCTTAAAATGTAGTAATATCCTCATTTAAGATAGCTAGTATAATACAGTTTTTAATTTATGTGATAAATTTGTTTTGTTTGAAAATGATACCATTATGAATTGTTTAAAGTAGTAAATGCTAACCTTGATCTGGCTCACCACTTTCTGCTGTTATTCCACTATTTTCATTATCTAAATTAAAGCTAAACTCTCCCTTGCATTTGCAGTTATTTGGACAATGTGATAAAAGTACAATAAATTTGAGCATTTTGTCATATTGCTGAGGTTGTTTCAGAGTTGCATAGTCAGAGAAAATAATATAATGAAAATCTCGAAGTAGATTTAATGAGCAGTGCTCATGTGTGGATAATTTGTGTACATTCTGATTTGCCTTTTCCCCCCCCAGGATGTCAAATGACAACTTCTTAGGCACACATACAAGCACACCTGGCTTTTTGTCACCTCACGATCATGAAGGCTCTGCCGTGAGGGTTTCCCCGAAAGCGCACTGAGCGTGACCCCCATTTGATCTAAACACAGAGCCTATGAAATAGCTAAAAGAAGTACACCCACACCTCCCTTATCTACTACTTCATTATCTGACATTTTGCATTTATGACCATCGTAAAAACTCTCCTATCCTATTTTGTGCATTAACAACATATATCTGGCAATCATGAAATCAAAAGAATACTGTGAAGATTCAGATTATGTGTCAGCGTGGCTGGGCCATGGTTTTCAGTGGTTTGGCAGTTGTATCATGACGTCATTTGGCAGTTATGAAACGATATAGTCATTTTCCATTTTGTGGTCTGATGTGATCATTCTCTGTTTCCCCATAAAGCTGATTTTGGTATACCAATCTAGTCTGGTCTTTGGAACATACCCATGTCGATAAGTGAGAAAAGAGTATCATTTTCTTCTTTTTCTGGTGGGAAAAATGAAGTGCGGATGGACTGAATCAATAGATGGAATTATTTTAACCTAAATTTTTAAAAAATCACTTACCAAGCTATGAAAGTACTTGTATTTGTTGACCAGCAATGTCATTTGTGCACATTTACCCTTGGAAAACGATTCAAAATAAATAAGTTAAAACCACTTCGGTAGGCCCGAATCTATCTTTTGCCTTTAAAGAAGTCCTGAGAATGTCGGAAATAGCCTTCCCGCCCTCTAAAAGAGAAAAGTGTACGGATACGTCTAGTTGATGACATCTAATGCTGCCATCAGAAGTGAGCATTCTGGAAACTCGTCCGCAAAATGAGAAAATGCTTACACTACAATGTTGAACAGAACGTGTTTCCTTCTGGTAGCCATACTATAATTCAGACTGTTTGAAAATGCTTTCATTCCGAAGACTGATGAAATAGAAAAATAAAGTAATGCTAGACTGTTCAAATGAAAGCCAATGTAATGTTACCTTTGCATTTCAAATTCTTTCTGCAGTTACTTTCTTTTTTCTTTTCAACAATTTTTCCATCTGTTCTTAACCTTAAAATTACATCTAAGATACTACTTTTAGGGAATAGATAGACTAAAGTTTCCTTGACTTACCAGGGAAATAGTCAAACCCATATTCAAAAGTAAAGAAATTGATGCAGCGAACTTGAAGGCAACTAGCTTGGGCTTTTTATTTCCAGTGTTTCAAAGCTTTTGGGCTAGGCACCCATCATTTCTATTCTGTACTACGTGGATTCGATGAGTTCTAGGGAACTCAACAGCAATGGGTCCCCAACAGTTGAGCTAGATGCATAATTGATGCTTGCCACACCTTTCCAGACTCTTGGCCAGTAACTCTCACCGATACAAGTTTACATAAGAGATTTTACATTTATTTTTAATTACAAATGTAAGATTGATGTGAGATGGCTATTTTAACATCTTTCTTTAGGTACCATTTCATATGCCAGGCTTCGCATAAAGCCGAGGGAACAGAAAGCAAAACTTATAATATTAAACAAGCATATCACAATATGCACAAGGAGTTGGTTAAAACTTAGAACTTAAGAAAATGCTGGTTTGGGGACAAGTTCTTATCTAATTCTCTGTGATATGCTTTCTTTACACATTTTTAGGATTCCTCTTTAGAGAACAGTTTACCCAGTACCCATCGCCATCCAGTTCACGGAGAATGATATTCCATTGAGCTCTCTGTGCCTGGCTTTGTTTTGGGGATTGCAGAGTAGATTACCAGGCCTGCCTTCTGAGATACCTCTGGGGTGGACAGGAACCGCCATCTTTTCAGTAGCCAACTACATTAACTGTGAATCACATAGTTAGCATAAAATTGTTACAAAGTGAATGCCTTAAATTTGTGCAACACACACACAACAAACAAGAGGGAGATGAAATGAGAAAGTAACTTACACGGAGTGCTTTTCGGTAGCCTAAATATAAATTCACATCACTGTGAAAGTGAAAAACTGAAATCCATACCAACACACTGGCTCTGTTTTAGGACAGTATGGCCCAAATTTCTGGAACCAAAGACTAGCATAAATGTTTTTTCAGAAAAGAGCAAACCCGTGCTTTTAAAAGGTGTTTCCAGAACTCCAAGTACACAGTCTAACTTTAGATCTTTCTCGTCCCTTGGGCAGAGCATACTATAAACTGTGAAAACCTATTACTTCACCTGCTGTCCATTCCTTTGTGAGCATGTTCAAGGAAGCATGATGGTTTCTCTGACACCTTAACCACAGTAGTGACACAGAGACTTTGTGCAAATTGTTTATAGGATGAAGCTGCACTGACATAGATTTGCTCAAGTAACAAGTATGCATTTTGTATATGTCATGGTATAAATTATGAATTTTACACACACAATCCAGGCGTTGCTGAGTTTAATTTAGGCATGTCTCTCTTTTGCCTTTGTTGGCAAGTCTCATGTAGTAAAATTCGATTTGGGCCTGGGCATCCATGTTCTGGAAGACTTCACACCTAATCCTGATGCCCAGCCAGAGGAGAGGACGTTTATTCTGGAAGACAGCTTCGTGAGCTTTACTTTTCAAAATGTAAACTCTTGCTTAACTTCTTTTCTTCTGTTCAACAAGATAAATGCAGTGATAAAATTTACTACCAAAGTCATATTTGTATTTTAAGCATGTCTCAGAATATATGACACAGATTAGTCAATATCTCTATCTATCTATATATGTATATCTATATTGGTATATTTATTTTAATTTAAGAAGTTGAATGGTTGAACAAGGTGTTGAATGCAGTTGGTCCATTGGTCTGTACGTAGCCTAATAAGGTCGTAACTAGCTTGAGGTTTGCAAATAGGACAGTGTCTCATTCCCAAGCTGTAAATCATTACTGGAGGAGCTGGCGTCATCCTTGCCCTGTGGAAGTGCTGGTAGGTTTGTGTGGCCAACCTTTCGGTCAGCAGTCAGATACTTAACCTGACAATGCCATCAGGGCTCTTCATTGAAGGAATAGAGGGGTATACATTATAGGTACCTTCTTAGGGACTGTGTTCCTCAATAACAGAATTTAAAAATCATGAAGTAAAATCCATAGCTTTAAATGTAGTCATTTTAATTATGCAAATCCAATATTTTTGCGTTTTAAATTGTAATGGCTACTTTTTTTCTGTCTTCCTTAACTATCCAGAATAAAGTGCTCGGTGCCTACATTTGCCCATTTTATGAAAAGACAAATGAGAAATAAAAAGTTTTCCTAGAAGTATGAAATAGGAAAACAGAAACACTGAAAAAGAACATTGTGTTTTAGATAGCCCTCTGGTGGTAAAAAGTCCAAAGGATCCAAAATGCAGACAGTGCTGGAAACGTGCCTATGAATAGGCACAGTGACTAACTTTAATGGTAAAAGTCAAATTGAATTGAGCAGACCAATGAGAAGGAATCCATTTTCACTTTATCCCGAGGGTCCTCAAAGCAGTATAACAGATAAAAGTCAGACACACAATAAGAAAATATAGTCCTTTTCACCTGTGTCATATAGCTACCAGGTGATTCTCTAATGACCAAAACAGAACTCCTAGAAACATTTTAGCTTAAAAAAAAAAACCCCATAAGATTATATTTTTAATAATTTTCATTTGGAAGTAATTTCAGACTTTAAAAATATTTGTAAAAAGAGAGCTAAGGGGGTCCCATGACTGCCTCCACCCAGATTTCCTACATACTTACAATTCACATGATCATCTTATTTATAAAGCCAGAAAATTAGCATGCTACCAACTAATCTACAGACACTGTTTCCATTTCTCAGCTCTCCTTGCTCTGGCTTCAGGAATCACAGTATATTCAGACTTGTTCAATGTGTGACCTTGCCCCCATCGTTCTTTGTCTTTCATGACCTTGACACTGTGGAAGAGTTCTTTTGTACAACACTTTTCATCTTGGTTCATCTGCTGCTTCTTGCTGATTCAATTCAGGTGATGGATTTTCAGGAGTAATACCAGGGAAGTGATGTCTGCCCTTGTGGGTGCATCATATCAGGTTGTACATGATGTCATTAGGGCTCATTACAGCTGATGGTAACTTTGATCACTGGGTTACAGTGATGTTTGCCAGGTTTCTTTCCTGTGCAGCAACTACTTTTTGTCTTGGCTTATCGACACAATGCTAGATTAGATGCTGTAGTATGATGAACGTCATAAATGCATTTTCTTCCTCATGGGTATTTTTCAGGCACGAGGTTATAATTTGTGCACTTAACAGGGAATTGCTCAAGTTTTTGTGCTTTGTTTGCAAATTATCTCTCTTCTCGTTTCCTCCATCTCCCTCTAACACTGCTCTTGCATTGTAAGTTGTAATCTTCAGAGAGAAGCTTCATGTCCCTGTTAACTGAACTCCATGCCCTTAATGACCTCGTAGGTGTGTCGAGAGTACCAGCGTGGCAATTGCAACAGAGGAGAGAACGATTGTCGATTTGCTCATCCTGCTGACAGCACAATGATTGACACCAATGACAACACAGTCACCGTGTGTATGGATTACATCAAAGGGAGATGCTCTCGGGAAAAGTGCAAATACTTTCATCCCCCTGCACATCTGCAAGCCAAGATTAAGGCTGCCCAATACCAGGTCAACCAGGCTGCAGCAGCACAGGCTGCAGCCACAGCAGCTGCCATGGTGAGTAGAGACCTGGTTATCTCTCCCTTCTTGTTAGCAGTCAGAAGAGCAACATGAACAACTATATCTGACTACGTGCTATCCGTTTATTAACTTTTTATTTTTTTGCTAGAGATATGTTTGTTCAGGTATCCCAGACAATACATAAAGAAGTTACCGTTCACAGAAGTGAGGGTAGCTCCTCCAATGGTTCAGATTGCTCTTTCCCTTGGCCTAACTCTTAATACTCTGTCTTGTTTTGGATGTAGGGTTTCGGAAGTTTCTGCTTTTGTAAAGAACCACCTGTCTCCTTTTCAATTGAACTAGATTGCCATTTCAGCCCTCTTATTTCTTATTTCTCTGCCACCTAATCAGCCATTGTCACCCTTTGGTGTGTTACCTTTTGCACATCAAGATTCTTCTCTCTCTCTATCTTGCTTTTAACAATTATATAATCTGGAACTATTTAGGAGAATTGCTTCAAAACACTTGCTACAAGATTTTGAAGAGTGTGCTATCTAGATTGTCTAGAGTAATATCCTGGCATAAGCATCATTGTAAGCCTGGAGAAGCTTGACTATGCCATTATACACAAAGTAGAAAGAGCAGTAGGCAAAAAGTTAGAAACATAAAGAATAGCTACTGAACTAAGTTCTTAAGGAAAATTTTAATGTGATCTAAAGAGCTGATTTTAATGAGTCCATTCTTTGTTTTTGCTTAGCTGTTTTAATGTTACCCCTTTTTACATAAATCCATGATTTAATCACTAAAATATTCATAAAACATCACTGTGTGGTGTTTCATAGCGCAGTAAAATGATTATGAGAGAGGTCTTTTCTGTGTTTGTTTACGGATACTTGAGCCAAACTACAGAAGGCAGACTCTCCACTCTTCCTTTCACTCTTTCCCTGTTAGAGTACTTGTTTGTAATTAACTTCAAAGAGGAGTTATCCTCCCAATAACAACTCAGTAGTGCCTTTATTGTGCATGCTTAGTCTTGTTATTCGTTGTATATGGCATTCCGATGATTTGTTTTTTTATTTGTTTTTTCTCACCTACCCAAAAATGCACTGCTGCCCCCATGATGCACCTCTGCTTGCTGTTTATGTTAATGCGCTTGAACCCCACTGGCCCATTGCCATCATGTGCTCGCTGCCTGCTAATTAAGACTCAGTCGGCTGTCAAATCACTGAAGCGACCCCTCGAGGCAACCTTTGACCTGGTACTATGACCTTTCACCTTTTAGCTTGGCATGTAGCTTTATTGTAGATACAAGTTTTTTTGTTTTTGTTTTTGTTTGTTTTTTAAAATTGATTTTAAAATATATATTCCTTTTTCTGTTATAAAGTTGTAAAGTACAATGGAAAACTGAGTGTGGTTTCCTGATAAAATTAGTAGAAAAGCTGTAATCTAAGTACGTGGATGGATATCATACAGTGAACGATTCCAAAAACCCAGCAGCCCACATTCAGTTTAACTACATTGTAGAATGTTCTAATGAAATACCTGGAGGACATTAAAAGTGTATTTTTGACTGTATACTTATGTACTTGTTTGGTTAGCATGGCTTTAGTTTAGAATTATACATGTTAAAATAATTATAAATCAGTGTATAAGAAGAAAAGAAAAAGACTTGCATGCTCTGGGACATTGGGGGACATTTGCATGTCTGAGTAGATCTGGAGGGAGGAGCAGAAGGGTTGGTTTTTATTTTATCAGTTGCAGTCACTCTTGACAATTAACGATTAACATTGCTTATCCTTGCCGATCCTCATGGAGCGCGCAGTGCAGCTTTTCTTTCCCCTCAAACCAATGGCTTTGCCCTGAAAGCCTGAAGCATTATGGGACTTAAAACACTTTAACACATTATCACATGTGCTTTTGTACTAGTGGGTATTTGTTTTGGAAAAAAGTAATGCTTCTCCCAAAGCTTTTATCTTGCTTATTTTTTCTTTAATTTATGTTTATTGGATTCCCCTGCCCCCACACCCTTTCCTTTTTTTGGGTAGTTAAGTGCTCTGCTGCTTGCTTGCTCATGCTTCCTAACAATTTTAGCCTTCAACTGATTTTTTTTCTTTTTTTTTTCTTTTTCTCTTTTTACTGGTGTTTGTTTTTATACTCCTTCACTGAACAGGGAATTCCTCAAGCTGTTCTTCCCCCATTACCAAAGAGGCCTGCTCTTGAAAAAACCAACGGTGCCACCGCAGTCTTTAACACTGGTATTTTCCAATACCAACAGGCTCTAGCCAACATGCAGTTACAACAGCATACAGCATTTCTCCCACCAGGTAAGAAGTTTGTGCTCATTAGTAAGTGAACCTGATAGTCCAGGTAGTGCTCTATTTGGTAGTGCAGATAAGCCACGCCCCTCCAGTTAACATTCAGTTGTAAATAAAATCTCTAAGGTAAGGTGGTCAACCATGGATATATTTCTGAAGTATCTCAAATGGTTTTCCTAAAAAGCTTAGCATTTTTAAACTAATGACATGGATGAAGGAATCGGTAGTGTTTTTAAATATTTATTTTTGTTTGTGTAATTTGGAATTGAAATATACTTCTCTTTTTTTCCCTCTTTCCTCAAACACTGTTATATGTCTGTCAAGCTATTTTATGATTCTTTACCCGCTGTAAGACCCCTTTGCCTTCATGATTCCATAAAGTTGATTTGAAATATATCAAAAGACATTTTCAGTTTAACTTTTCATTTTTCAGCTTTTTGGTTTTAAAGTGGAGAATGAAGAACTGACTGTGTTCTTGAGCTTCTAAAATGTGCTTTGATTGGCACCAATCAGCACGTTACCTAAACTTTTATTGCTGCTCAATTAAAATAGAATTTGGCCCAAGTGTCCAGATCTCTTTAAATTTACTATCAAATTACTAACTTTGTAGTTTCAGTTTATTCCAACCTAGTCATGTAAATATACTCTCCTATTATTCACAAGGATTTAGAATTGAAAAAAAAAGAAAGAAATTAAACCAGTCAGTCAAACCTAGAAATTTACAATTTTTTCTCACTCTGATTTTATTTCAGATTTATTTTCTTATAATCTGGAATTCAACTAACCAAAAACATGAAAGGCATTGTTAAATAATCTGCATTTAAAACATAGCTTCATTCAGAGATGTATGTAATAAATAAGTTGCATTTTCATTAATTCAATTAATAAGTTAATAACTAGGTGGTTTTGCCAAAATTCCTATTTCTGTCACTGTATTATATACCATTTTGAGATTATTCACTACAAATAAAGTGAATATCTTATGAGCTACTTTTCATAACATTTAATTTTAAATCAGGAACAGAAGCTTACATTTTTCTGCTAAGACTTTTCAAAATTGGCTATCCATATATGAAAAATATGGTAACATTTGAACAACCAGGATGGTCCACTAATCAGAATAACTGAAATAATCGAGTGAAAATACTTGTATTCATATCTTGCAATAATTTTGAGTTATAACGTGCCCATATCAGACAAAAAATTAAACCAATTTGCTCTGTTAGTGAATTATTTGTTTTCTAAGTGAAAAATCCACATATTTCTTTATTTTTTTAAAAAATGTCTTGGAAAACATTGATAGTTTTTCAGAAATTAAGCTTTTTTTGCTTTTTTATCATGTTTCCAACATATAGCCATCTCTTTTTCTATAGTTAGATCACTAGGCAAAGTTTCAAAAGACTACAGATGCCTACCGTACTCTTTTTGTAGAAATTAAAAATTATTTTTGCCAGTTTAGTGGATTCAAAATTGCTATTTTAGACAGTAGCTTCTTTATTTAACAAACAAAACAAAGAACAAACAGGGGCACATATATCCTTTTCCATATATTATTTAAGTAAATCTAAGGCGTTTAAACTGAAGATCGACCTTCTCAGTCATATCACTAGACGCAGGTACTATATCTGTGATTAAAAATATTTTTGTTGTTACATAGGATGTGCCTGTGTACAACAAAACTGGACCCACTGACATTAGAAGATTAAAATGGATATCCCGCCTCTACATCTGCCAACCCACTTTGTCAAACGGCTAGAAAGCGCAGACATCTGATGTAGGGAGTATAAGCTCTATGCCTCAAGGGCCAGGCAGGCAGCATAAACAAGAGAAGGGAGAAATAAATTGGGAGCTGCGGGGTATGGGAGGCACTGGGGAACATAGTCTAATGGGGCTGGTCAATGTAGCTTCAGTCTTTTGTTTCCTCAGAAGAATTTAAGCTTGGCTTGTTGAGCCTGCCAGGCCCTGCACACCATCTGCAAGGAACTCCGCTGACAGCACAGGCCTGTGACTGAGGCCTGTTAGGGTTGGTTGTGCATCTGGCTCTTCTGTTGGCCTATCTTCTGATCTCTGTCCCAGATAGTCTAGCTATTTAAATGTGTACATGTAAACTGTACCTATTTTTAAATTAGGAAAGCTAGTTTATATTGATTTTTTACTAAACTGTTTGTAAAACTTTTGTAGAATGAAAGGAAACCAACCCATCCTGCCATAAATTCATATATGTAATACATGGGAGAAAAGGAACTTGATTTTCCTGACTTAGAGGTTATTTTATAGTCAAATAATGGGGAAGATGCGATCAGAACATATACATATAATAAGATCAGAGCATCCCATCTGGCCACATTATATTAATTTGGGAGGTATAAAGGCTATCTTAAGACTGGAAAGAATGTAGAAGTCATTTGTTAAAAGAAGTATCTTTCATTGCTTGATGTGTACCATGTCGCCCTGGAGGCTTTCTATATGTTTTGTCATTTTTTCTCACAACTCCCAAAGGCTGGCATTTGTATCCCCACTTTGCCAGTAAGTACTTTGGGGCCTGGAGAGGCCCAGTATATTTGCCTCGATATATGCAACATAAGTGCTTAAGTAAAGGGTTAAGTGCCCCAATTATTAATGAGCCTGCAGAGTGCCCATGATTTCATAGTCTTGGGGAATCTTTTTCCAACACCTTGTCTGTCTACCTGTCCTCAGAAACACATCTCTCTCCTTCCCCCCTAGCATTTTACTCTCCATCAGTTTAGACTTCAGATTTCTAAAGACCTAATTATAAGTTTGCTTTAAGCATTTTCAGCTTTGGCTTACATTACAACTCTATTAGAAATAAACAAAAGGCCACGACATTGTTTAAAGCGCTGGCAGGGAGAAGGGCTTATTTTTACAGAAAGAGGGAAAAACAGAGATAGCATGCAACTATCTTGTCATTTTTTAAAATCTGTAACATTAGTGAACAAGGTTAATGGAGACCTAGTACTGTGACTGGGGTGCAGAAGGGGTGGGCAGTGGAAGAGTTCACCTTCCATGCCAGAGACCGAGGTTCAGTTCCCGGACAGTGCAGTTCTAAAGCAGTCCCCACTCCATATTTCATCTGAAGCTTGTGCTTTCAGACAAAAACAAGCTTGGAAAAAAGCCCTAACCACCCACTTTTGAACAATCAGACAATGAAAACCCCATGGATCGCCACAGTTTAATGCATTTGTGCATGGAGTAGGCCGAGTCAGAGCTGACAGGAAGGCAGCCAACAGAAGACTGACTATCAATCAGTCACGAAAACTCAGAGTTGAGTTTGAAATCTCACGCTTTCATGAATTATATTCTTCCTATAATTTGTGTTTATTTCTGGAGGGTTTGGAGGGAGTGGAGGCCTGTAAACATATATATATGTTTACGCAGAATTTTGTTTACATGACCTTTAAACATAACATTGGTAACATATTCCATGAAAGTACTTTTACAGATCTAAGAGTTTAAAATACTGCCTGGAATGTAGTAAGTGCTCTGCAAGTGTTACTCCTTTCTTAATGGAAAAGTTTGAATAGAAACAGGAATCCATTTTATGAAGTGGCTATTTTCATGAAATCATATTTGGGAGAAATTCAACTGATCATGAATTTTTAGCTCTAGAATGATATAAATTATTGTTTTAAAGACCCTAAATCAGCATTATTGTTCTTCCATTTAGTAAACCTACACAGGTCTGAATTGCATCTAAAGCCTAACCTTCTACCAAATCTCCGTAATTGTCACTCTCTCCTACATCTTCCATTTCCGGAAGTAGTTTTTAATCATGCATACATCTCATTTTTAAAATCACCAGGCTAGTTGTTTTTTCCTGCAGCTTTATACAAGAGATCGATTATAGCATTTAATTTTAAAAGTCATGTAATTAAAGAAACTCAGTCTTCAGAAACATGCCACCCTTCTTTGCAGATGTCTTTGTAGGAGAAATTTGAAGCTGATGAGCACATTCGGTTAAAATTTTCCTTGAGCTGAAAATTGAAGGAAAAGTTATATTGGCTATTTGTGTATAGTTATCAGTAAATCAACCCATTCGAAGTAAACATGTATTTTATGGTCATTTCAAAAGTGAATTTTGCTTTTTGGTAAGTGGGTCCTACAGCATTACGTCTTCATATTTGTGAGTTGTTGCACCCTGGCTAGTATTTCCATTGCTGCCTTATATTTCTTTGCTGCAAATCCCTTTCAAAACTGTGTGCATTGGTTATAATGTTAGTGAGAAAGATAACTCAAACTAAAATACAAATCATAAATGCTTTAGAGTTTTAGGAAGGGTAGTGTAGGTTAACTCATTTTCAGCATGTGCGGGCTTAATTATGCATGAGATGAAATACAATAGGCAAAGGTATAACATAATAATAATCCACTGTCTTTGAGTGCTTCCAACTCATAGTAGCTTTGTAAGACCACGTATAACCGCCCCCATGGGATTTCCAAAGCTGTAAATCTTTAAGGAATCAGCCAACCTCATATTTCTCACATGGAGCTGCTGTGGGTTCAAACCAATAGTTTTGTGCTTAAGCCAATGAGGCACATAGTGCTTAAGCCAATGAGGCACCAACGCAAAAAGCTCAAACCCATTGCCATTGTGGCTAGTGGGTTGGAGCCATCAGCCTTCCTGTTAGGCAGTCCCACGCCTACCCAACAGTGTCAGCGGTGTTCTTTTAACAATAAAATATTGAAGGCATATAATCTGTACCATAGTTCAATTAGCTTTCCCATCCTTTGAATACCACGTTTTAAAATTTATCCTTGCATCCTGTCTTCCCCAAACCTACCACCCTAACATGAGAGAGATCATGACTTCATAGGATCACACCCAGTATTAAATTTTGCCTGCTCTACTGTCTCCAGCTAACTTCTTTGTGTTGTTACTAGTTTGTTGCTCTTGTCTTTCTCAAGGTCTTTGACTCAGTAGTAGTAGCAAATGACATAGCTCTTCAAGCGCACTAAACAGTGCCTGTAGATATAGTATTACTCCCTCTTTGAGGCTGCCGCCCTAGTTCCATTAACCAGTTTAATCACAGATCAGTGTGCTAATTGTGATAACAGACTAATTGCAGCTGTTAGAGACAGGCCCATGAAGTAATCCTGTTTCTCAATGGCCCCATTGTTTTGCAGAGTCATTACTGACAAGACCCAATTGGCAGATACTTTTCTAACAAATGTTCATTCCAGATGCTGCTAGTGTTTTTATATAGGCTGTGTGAGATTTAAATAGAAATAAAGAATATTGGATTTTAAAAAATCTACAAGTATAAATTTTAATCTCTTAGAACGAACAGTAGTTCAGCATATGGGAAAATGTTCTATACTTGGAAAAACAAATTGGATTTTCCAATGATGTCCATATGCCAAAGTAAGCAGTAGCTACTGTCACAGATTTAATACTTCTTGTTACTTATCATAGTGGAAAAAATGTGTACATTATTGCTAACACCTCATATGTGTTCTGTGTAACTTTATTATCTCCCACTCAGTGTTTCATTAAAGTCTAATTAGCAAACATTCTGGCAAGCTTTTGTAGAACATTTCCTTCTTCAAGAATCCCTGGGTGGCGAATTCCCGAAATGAACACCAGCCTGCTTTCCCAGATACCCACAATGGCTATCAGTCTGAGCCCTAGAAATTAGCCCTCAGAATTTGTTCCCGACATTTCAACGCCTAATTTAGGAATAGGCAGAGGTGTTGCTCTTTTTCTATGCCTAGTACAGTGTTGCTTGGTGTCCCTGCCCTCACCCAAAGATGACCACTACCACACGCACATCCATTCAGTCACCATTACAATGAATAGGAAAAGAAAACCAAGGGATTGGAAGTGAGTGCTTTTAGGCTTGATTATCTTGTTAAGTCAGGTTTTCGCATTGAGGTATTTACAGTACAGTAATGTACTGTACAGTACAGTACAGACAGGAATCTCTGCTGAGGCACCCAATTTTACCACAAAAACTGCATTAAAAATGTGCTGAAAAACTAGGCTTATGTTCAAATATATAGGTAGAAGCTTAACAAATCATCTCGCTAATTACTTAGCATGCAATTAATCTAAAGAAAATGTGACTATACCCCCATGTTAAAGCCCAAGAACAAAGCAGCCAGTGGGGTAGTAACCAGATTGAAATAAAAGCAACCTACAATATTATTTGTTAAAAGAATGAAGAGGGTGTAAACACCCCACCCCCGTCCCCTTAATTTTACTTGTACGCAGCAATTAAGAGAAACAAAGTGTACCAGCACACAGTTAAGCCAGCTTGTATTCTTCACTGGAGACCAGTTCTGATTGATCACTGTGCTATTGTATGAATTGATTGTGCTGACAGTTACATGCCACTGTTTCCCATAATAACAATTTTTCTTCTTTGTTCAAATGAATTTCCTAATTACACGTGTGATGGGATGTTTTAATTCTCTTCCCTTTTCCAATCCACCTTCCTGTTGCACTGCATGATGGGCAGGCTCAATATTGTGCATGACACCCGCTACAAGTGTTGGTAGGTGCAAGCTTTGTTTCTTGATTATCTTAAACCTGTGGTGCACCTCACAGCCCCTCAAAATCCACTGCGAAGTTTAACGTGTATCTATTGGGCAAGTCCATTTCCCTTTTACTAACACCTGTCAATTAAATGCCATTTCCTATTTAATTGACACGGACTCACATAAAGGTTTTCTTTACACAACAGTTTCCTTTTGTCACCTTTGGTGGATTTTGATTGGACTATGAGTTCTGGTGTGTAAAAAACAAAACAAAACAAGCTATCTCGTAAAGTGATAAACTATACTTTTTAACAACCGTAAATAAGAAAACAGACTTTCAAATGGATAACTGTATGTATATGAATAAATGGATAACTGTATTTTGACTTAGATTTTTAATGTTTGACTTTTAGCACTATATAAAATTCTTGTTTTGACTTAGCAAATTAAGCCTGTTTGTGTAAATTTTCTTGATTTGATGGTAACAAGCTTTTTTCCCTCCCCTTTTTTTTCCTTCTTTCATCCCCTCTCCCTTTCTTTCCTTGGAATGTTGTCCTGCTTTGCGCTGCGATTGCATGTCACTCGCTGGTGATGATGCCCGTCACATGGCTTACTGCTGTGATAAATACCATGCCCAATTATCTACTCCATGTTGCCATGGTTTCCATATTGCTGCACTCTTCTGTATGTTTGCTTATATGATTTTCCCTCCGAAAGTTCCCATGGTGCACGGTGCTACGCCAGCCACTGTGTCCGCAGCAACAACATCTGCCACAAGTGTTCCCTTCGCTGCAACAGCCACAGCCAACCAGGTTTGCTAATTTACAGCTTTGTTTCTTAAAAACCAATTCTAATAGGACTCAATCCAACAGCCCTTACCCACATGGCTTGCCCATTGAGGTCAGTGGGAATCGACTGTCCGTGAGGGCTGTGGAGGGTGCTTTAATAAGCATGGGGTTCAAAGATACCTCTTGTTGGCCTACACATTCTTTCTATGACGAGCAGCAGAATGCTTTTGATGCCATTAGAAGTGCTCCAGAGTTGTCGCAGCTCTATTTCTGAAGCTACTAAAATGATATTTACACAAGCAATTCTCATTTTGTCTCAACCAACCATGTAGGTATTTTGACAGATAAAAAATGTAGGCAATCTTTAGATTTGTATTAAAAGTAAAAAATTGGTTTAAAAATGTTTCAGTTCTCACTAAAAATCTTAGTGAGATGAAAAATATTTGAATTGATTACAAATGCCACAGATGACCACTCTTGTAAATAGAGTTCCTTGTTTAATATTGTAATAGCTTTGCTTATTTGATAAGCATATTGCATATTCAAAATGAAGCTTTGTACAGCACCTTCAAGGTTCGATGCTTAATTCCTTACGTGAAAAAAATACTCAGTGCTCTTATTCCTAGAATTACCCTAAATAAAAGTTTCAAACTTTAAGAGAAAAAAAAATGAAAATAAATCAAATATGGTCGATTGACAGTCACTCTATATTCCATAAAGTTTTACAGGGTACCTGTGATGCAAGAAACTTTTGAAAGGAATCTGGGTCAGAAATTTAAACTTCTTAGTATATAAGACTATTTAAAAAATTTAAATGTTAATTTAAAATATTTAAAATTTAAAGATTAACCTTGATTCAGCTAGTGTTTATTTAAAATAAGTTTCAGAAAGCTACTGGCTAAATCAGAGTTATTGGTGTATGCAAGTGGATTTTTGGCTTGACTGTAGATGTGGTTATTATGAAACCAAAGTTCCATAGGGGTAATATAGTACGACAAAATTTAGAGCCAAACCTCATTTCCGATAACACACTGGTTAAGGAAAATATAGCCAACTGCAACTGCAGAGAGCCAGTATCAGCAAGGAATTAAGAGTTTGTCCCTGGGAAAGAGAAGACCGATTAAAAGCCGTTTATGTTCGTAGCCATTGGTCCGAATGAAGGAGCTACCTTGGTGGCTGCAACATGCCAAGTAATGTCAACAAAAATAGGAAGCACTTACTGTAGCTCTTAGCAATTTTCAAAAGCAGTATGTAAAATGCATTTATTTTAAAGTTTCCAACAAGCTTTAAATATCTCTTGGCAGAGAATCATTAGTTTTACAGAAGCTTGTCAAAATAGCCGTGGATTTACGCTAAAACATCCAACTCATTTACAAGAATGCTAGCTCATGCATATGTGGCATGTTAGTAAGTAATCTACAGCAGAAATTTCCTAATGGATTCCATGCAATCCATTTATGGTGCAGATCAATGAAGCTGAACTCTCTTTTGTGTACCATGTATGACTGTAGAATTGCTGGTGTAAGCAGAACTATAGCAAAGCAAATTTCAACATGCCCTTGGCCATCTGGGTTGTGAGGGACACTTTACTTCTCGCATTGTGCTGTGACCATTTCATGCATAATCTTGGGTCTTCGTACTGTTTTATAACCAAAAGGAAAAGGGAATGGATATATATATATATACACACACACATATATTATATCTACATATGCATACAAATGTATATGCCTACGGTACATTAGCAATGCTGGAAATAGCTGATGCTACCAATGCAGCCTGCATGCATGCAGAAGTTTATAGCTGGCCCTCCATCTGCATCGATTGGTGTTGAAGGCCCTTGGTATGTTTCGACAGCCCCATCCTTGATGCTTCTACACTGTTGGGTGCAGCATCCTGTCCTGCAGCAGCAGGAAACATGGTATGAGAAGCTTCATTATGCTTGGAGCACATTTCCGTGCCACTTGCCAATGCTGTAAAATTGTGTAAAGGTGTCAGCTGAGGGAGGTGAATAAAATAGGGACATGCTAATGTACACTCCAGTGAGGAGTGGGGTATGTTGAGTTCGCCTAGGACTTCTAAACTGAAACAAACAAATGCCCTTGCGCAAGTGATTTCGTTATTCCCCCATTAACATTGCTGAAATTCCAGCAGCGCCATTTTGTAGAGGAAGATGCTTAAGTAGAGTGTGGTTACGTACTTTGCCCAAGGCCGCTAGCCTGAAATTGGACTGCTAGTGTTAAAACCCGTGTTCCTCCTCCTCCAGTCACCTCCATCAAGCTTGCTGCTCCTGCCTGTGAGCACGCCGCCATCATTTGGGGGCTGAGGAGAATCAGGCTACAGATGTGAAGTTCTTGGCTTCTGGAACTCTTGGAATAAGTCATGTTGATTTTCATTGCTTAGTACAGTTTCTCACATGTTCGCTAATTCTCTTGCCCTTTTAAAAAACAATGAATTTTGCAATCAGAACTCAGAAATATATATATTTACATATATATATTTGCCAGTACCTTATGCTCTTACATAGCTCTTTGGAGTTACTCCTTTTAAATTTTTGCCTGGTATTTTTTATTTGTGGGGAAAAAGGCACAGTAAGTTGAATGGACTTGTTAGAAATGAGTTGCAAAAATAGACAAGACAGGCCTACCCTTATTTTTGGATTACTAACTAACTGAAACCACAGGTGTGTGAGTGTGTATGTGTGTAGGCCAACAAAAAGGACTTCTTTTAATTATTGCTCTGCATGAATTTTTGGTAGTTGAACTTCTCTTACTTCCTCAAATGTGGTAACATTTATAGAAGCGTACGTAACACATTTTTTCAAATTGCTACTTCGGCAAGTTGATAATAACGTACTATTATGTTGACTAGATAAGTACTATCGCCTCACAGCTGTTTTACTTTTTGTTGAAAATTGAATCTTAAAATGTTTTCATCTCTTAGTAGTTGGCTTGCTTGCATGAATCATTCATTAAATAATTTTTTGTTTGATAGATACCCATAATATCTGCCGAACATCTGACTAGCCACAAGTATGTTACCCAGATGTAGAAATTTCATCACTAAACAGTAAGTTAATTGTATAAGATATAGTTTTGTCTTTATGGTAACCTTTTGTGGATAGCAGTTATATGATATATTTATGAAAAATATCTCCCCCCAAATAGATAGAATATGTATATGTAGTTCACACCTTTTTTTGGATGGTTTATGAAAAATATTATCACATTAAGTTTTGGTAAGTTTGTTAATAGCACATAAATGAAAACAGTACTAAGACAAAATAGTTTTTGCTTTCATTTCCTATTAGAAATACATACAAGCATTTTGTTTGACATAGTTGTATGTTTATGGTAGCTTTTTAAGGATAAAAGTTGTATGACGCATATATGAGAAATACAACAAAAAGTAGATGAAACATTTATATGCAACTCACACTTTTACAACTATGACTAACAAACCAAACTATGACTGAAGGCTAAATGGAGGATTGTGGTTGGCAACCTTTTTGTTAAAGAGCCAGTGCATACAGATACTTGGGGATATGTGGGGCATGAGGTATGTGTTATAATTATTTGTATTGTAACTACTCAACTCTGTTGTAGCACCATATAAAATCAGGCTGAAAAAAAATGTGTAAGTGAATGAGCTTGTTGTTCCGATAACATTTTATTTATAGATAGGGGCAGCAGGTCAAGTTTGGCTCATAGGAAGTAGTGTGTTGACCTGCTAACCCCTGTTCACCCTCCACAGTTCACCCTCCACAGTTATCTCATTGTAAAGAGCCTGACTTTAAGTCTGTTTGCAGGAGCCCTGGTGGTGTAGTGGTTTCACATTGGGCTACGATCTGCATGTTCAAAACCACCAGCAGCTCCATGGGAGAAAGACTGGGCTTTCTGCTCTGTAAATAGTTAGTCTCAGAGACCCACGGGGGCACCATGTGTCGACATTGACTCAGTGGCATCACGCTTGGTTAAGTCTATTTAAACACTGACATAAACACTGACACATTACAGCCACATCCAAATCAACATTAGCCGGTTCAGATAGTCACTTAGAAGACCATACGTAATTCTAAGCAGAATTTGATAGTCATTTGAAAAAGAAATGACACTTCTTCTGAGAAGTCTGGTATTTAAAATGCTGCCAATGTTCACTCTATTATTGAAATGTCTTTTTGTCCATTTCTTAAGCTTTTTCAATGCAGTTCTGGGAAAAGGTCTAATTTTTCTGATCAGTGACCGTGTTTTTGCAAGAAGCAAATAACTTTGTGGTGTATACTTTCAGCGTTCTCCGTGTGGCATGTCAAAAGCGTTTTAAGCTTTTAGCGTCCATTGGGTCTGTTCTGCACACACATCCATAGGTAGCTGTGCGCTCATCCCTAGAGGTCACCACAGTTGGGAAGTGTTGCTGAGTGACAGTAAGTTCCTCGGTGAGGAGCAGTTCAGTGTCTTTGCCTCTTCTCCAGCAGACCCATGGTGTCCTTTCTGTCCATTTGAAAACACGATTGCTCATTTTCATGAGGAGTTACAATATTTAAGCTGGTTTTTAGTTCCAAAAAATGAGGATATATTTTATTCCTAAGGTCGCATTCTAAAGCATCCCCGGACTAGACAAATATCATATTGAAAATTGGGCTCATTAAACTATAATGGCATTGTAAAACCTAATAAACTTTAATTAAATAAGAGCATAAGGAATACTGCTCATTTTTCTCAGCTTGAAGAAGAAAAAAGTTCATAACCTTTTAATTATGCCATACAGCCTCTTAAAGTAGTATTCTTTCTTTTTTGAACACAGAATGTACTAATCTCGCACCCAAACTTTGTGAACCCTGTTTTGTAGAACTTAATGTTACATGGATTTTAATTTTGTAGGTCAATTCCTAGCACAAGATTTGAAATTCACTAAACATTAGGAGAGAAGTAAAACAGCTTTAAATTCTTCTACAATGCTTCTGTTAAAAACGGACTCTACTACTCCATGCCCTTCGGTTCTGCAATTGCATATTTGTTATCTTGGTTTTGGCTTGGGTAATTTTAGAGCAAAGTACAGTGAACTGTGTATCTCACTTCATTCCCATAGAGATGGACGGCACATTTAGATTCATTTCCACTTGTGACGTGCTTTGGTTTGCTTTTACATGCAGATAAAGATACATGCAAACACTCTAAAAAACACTTGAACACTTTCGTAGCAAATACATCTTGGGGAGATGCCTTTAGATATTGTTTGTTTTAATACAGATTGTTTCTTTCCCCCTTGCAGATCATCCTGAAGAGGAAAGGACAGTGTGCTTGGTTAGAGTAAAGGACAAGGTCATTAGCCATATTGTATATATTGTCAAGCAACACACACAAAAATCCCTCAGCCACAAGACATCCACATATTTGCATGTTAACCAGAAGAAAAGACAACATGGAAATCCACTGCACACTGTTGCCTATACACTTTGTAAATTTAATTGATAATTCGTGCTGAGGTGATATTACTGTCTAAAAGAACAACATTGTCTTTCTTTTCTAGCACAGAGTTATGCATCCACAAATGCATACCTAGTTAATCTCCTCTATAGTCATGCCATCTTGAAAAGACAGACTATGGTGTAACCATGATTCTCTTATGTATTGGTACGTCTGTAGACCAAGATATAATTTTTAAAAAAATAAGTTTATTTCTTTCAAGGTTTACAAATAACAAAGGTGCACCTTGTATTTAAAATTGCCATTATAGATGAAAGAGTGCATGCACAGTCATTTTTGTTTAAGAGTAATATTTTTAATGTAATAGATTGTAAGACACGGTGAGGGAGGGATCTGACAGAGATGAATGTGCCAAGCAAAACCACAACTGTGTATCTTTTAAAGCACATCATGGCTTTAAGTACCATGTTGTTAAGGATTCTCATGAAGTGCCATAGACTGTACATCAAATTAGAGTATTATTTCTTCAGTGTTATTATTTTCAGAGCCACATTTTGTTGCTTATTTGCTAGTACTAATCAGTCAAAGGGCACCATTCTTCTTTTCTTTTCTTTTGAAACCAAAGCTGTCTCAGAAATGGCCAATTTAACCTTACAGTAACAATAGACAGCACAACACAAACTCTCAATACAGATAAACTCACGCATACTGGAGATATATAATAGATATATATATAAAATTATTTTAATGCATTGTAGGATAATATTTATGCATACTATACTGTGTAACATGTAATTCAAAAGGGATATGCCATTTCTGAGACACAATAACAAAAAACGTTTGAAGAAATTATTTTGCTTCTACTTATAGCCTCTGTCAGAAGTCACAAGACTATAAACGCTTTGCAGAAATGGTGTCACGTCTGCTTAAGTGTGTCCTCACGGTCACATTCAAAATAGTGACCCTAAACAAGAAGAAAGCAGCACTGTCATCAGATGCGTGATAAGCCAAAATATGACAATGGGAAATGTTTAATTAACCGAGTACTTGGGTGGGTTAAGTACATGGGTGAATTTTATATGTGATTTTTTTGTTTGTTTTGTTCAGATTAACTGCTTATAGCCTTAGAAAGCCTTTTAAAAATTAAAAACAAATAGATGTGCACTCAGTTTTTAAGAATGGATTCATCCAAAGGAATTCCTTTTTTGTGGTTTGGATGTCGCAGCTAGGAAAGGGTATTTTGCTCTGTTCAGCAGTTCTAAACATTGCTGAAGTAGGGGCCAGGTCACTGGTAGTCACAGTGTGGAATGGGAGAGGTGAAGGTTCGGTTATAGAACTTTCCATACTTCCAAGTTTACTGCAAGTTTTTATGCTTGAGAGAGATGCTTTTTAATATAAGACTGATGTGTTGATTTTAATGATTGTACTGTACATCTATTAAAGCCTTAGATTATTACATTACGGGTTGGAACCCATACCAATGTAATTTCAATCGTGTTAAGAGAGTAATGGTGACTTCACATGTTATTGTAGTTAGTTACATTATAGACTAGTACTTATTTTTCTTGTTGAAATGTAGTTTTTCATTTCCTACATTTATTAGATTTTCATTTTCTATTAACAATTGAATACCATTTCAGTTTATAGACTATTGTTTTATTAGATTTTACTGATGAATTTTTCAAAATACAAAAAAAAATTAAAGTAGTTTTCCTTCATAACATAACTCAGTTTTGAATTACATGTAGTGTCATATGACTATTCGTATTATTGTTAACTAAATGATTTATATTTTACTGATTTAATATTATAGTGTAAGAATGTCAGTCATTGTTAGTTCTTGTCTAGTTTTCATTAAAAGAACAAAGATCTTTTATATGGATATCCTATAAATATATAATCATTGCTAAGTAAAAAAAGTTAAGTTGTTGCTATTGCAACAATCCTGGCAGACAATTGAGTAATATTTTGATGATTTATTTTGTTTGTAATTAGTTATTATAAGAAGATCTAGATCCTAGATATTAGAATAAAATTTATTTTCTACTGTATCCATTTCAAATGTTAAAGTATTGTTTAATATTTTTGAAATCCCTGAATATCAGGCCTTGTTATAAATAAGCTGCATAATCAATAAATAGAACAAGGGACTTTTTGTTGATAATCCAAATACTCAAAGTTTACGTAATGAGAATTATAGCGTGTGTGCAAACTCTTGAGGGTTGATTATGCTGCAATTTAACATGTTGGAACGTCTAGAGAGAAGGTTGACTTTTTGCACTTCTGTATATAGTCAAAAGAGAGAAACCTGTATAATAGTAAGATCTTATTTTGAATAAAAACGTCTATAATTACAAGGAGTTTTGTTAAGGCTAATAAAATGACAGACTGAGCAAAAATGGCTTGCAAAAGTGGCACAGAGTTAGCACTCCATACCCCTCGAACATGTTGCTTTGCTTTTTGTGGACAGCTTGTAGTTTGCCAGGATTTTTTCAGCTGGAAAGATATGCCATCCTTCCAAGATCTCATGACTGACAAAAACTCCATTGGGCCAAATATGCCTGAAGATCATTACCAAAAATAGCAGGTACTTCAACCATTAAGGTGAAATCATGGATCAAATATTCCTTACATTTTTCAAAACTACTGCATGTTTAAAACTTCAGAAAAAAAAACACAAAAAACAAAAAAGCAAAAAAAAAAAAGAGAGAGAACTATCCTAAGGACATATATTATTCAAATCTGTTTCTGACGATTTCAATGGTTTCTTGTTCACAAAACGAAATCTTCAAAACTATTGACTGTCACAAAATTTGAATCATAAACAGGCAAACCAAACAGCACACCTTAGCTATAGTCGTTATGTGATTGTTATTTTAATTGTTGTAGGATCCTGTTCTTTCAGCAGGTGGGGGAAAAAAACATACACAGTTTAAATTTAATGGTTTTAATTTTCAACTCAGAAGCACTCAAAAGAGCAAAATGTGGTCTTGGGCACTTGTTTGAATGAATCCATGTACCCAGCCTCCCCCCCACTGGGTCAGAATGCTGCACTTATCAGCAACCTTACCACTTTCATCTGCAGAAAGGACAGGTGTGCTTGGTTTTACTATTATGTAATCACAACTTACTTTCTGCTTGTAGTTGCTTAAAATTATGTATTTTGTCTTGGGCTGCAATTTGTTTTATGCTTATTTTATTATTACTGCAGTAGTTGACTTTGCTGTATGGAAAAATAAAGTGAAATTGCCCTAATAAAACTTCTCTTTCTTAATTATATCTGTGTATCTGCGATTGAAGTGTCGGTTTTTTTTGCGCGTTTCATGTATTCATGCATGCTGCATATCTTTGTGGAGAGGTTGGCATGAAAATCTACTGCCCAGTTCTAACTATGATGCCAGGCAAGTATTGACTGCCTTTCTCCCTTAGTAGCCTTGCCACTGAGGGCGAGCTCTCTAAATCCTGGTGTGTTAGAATCACCCCCCTGCCCCGCCCCTCCCCATAACACTGTATATAAACTATAATTGACATAGGTTTAACTAGAAGATAAAAAGTATCGAAGAGAACTTCTATTACCAATTCTGAATCCTTGCTACACTGATTTTGAAACCTACCATTGATCTGGGCTGCCCCAGAGGACAATCACTGGAAATATGGCGATCTAAATAATTCAGTAATTAAATAGATGATGACACTGGATTCCGAGGGGTAAAATAGTGTACCCAAACACTCACACTTCTGGGCCAGACCAGGGCATACATCATGAGCAAGTATATATGCATGCACGTGAGTTTATAAAATAGTTCATAGGTGTTTGGAGCGGCACCTGGTACATACTATGCGGTTTGCCCTTTCTACAGATAGCCAGGGAAGGTCAAAGGCCCATTGTAAAGAGGCTCCTTCAATCTTCTTTGCTGTTTATGTTGATTCTGCCACTTTATATTGGGCCCAAAGGTACATATTCTTCTGAGTCCTGCATTCACTGCCAGTGGGTCAATTCCAGCTCATAGCCACCCTTTAGGAGAGGCTGCACTACTCCTGTGGATTCCTGAAAAGGGAGGAATCCCTGGTGGTGTAGTGGGTTGAGCCGAGTCATGAGCTGCATGGTAGGCACTTGGGAAGCACCCGCAGTTCACAGGGAGAAAGACTGGGCTTTCTGTTCCTGTAAGCCATTGGTCTCGGAAACCCACTGGGGTCGCTATGAGTCAGCATTGACTCAATGGCAGCGTTTGATTTGGTTTTTAACTCTATGGGAGTGAAAGCCTCCCCTTTCTAACTCGGTGCTGCTGGTAAGTTCAAACTGTTGACCTTGTGGTTACAGCCCAATGTGGCTGTAACAAAGACCACACATGGGTGCCTTGAACAAGGGAGAAAATGGTTTCTCACACATCTAGAGGCAAAAGGCCCAAATAAGATTTTGGCCGTGTTAGTCGTGTGTGTGTGTGTGTGTGTGTGTGTGTGTGTGTGTGTGTGTGTGTGTAGTTTAGTGTTTATTTTTTTCCTTTAAAAGTTATTTCAGTGAGAATAAGTGCATTTTTAATTAGCACACTTCTATGACTGGTTGAGTTCTGTAGGACGTGTGTTGGTAGTGGGATCAACTGTTGTAGGTCTCACTTCTCATCAAGACAGTTGTCTGCCCTGCAGATAATGCTCAAAGCCAGGTTCACAAACTTTGAATAACATCAGAAACATCTGGTTCTTTTCTGTTAATAAAGAATGTGCTCTTTTCACTGGAAATCACAGTATCTCAGCTGAAAGTCATTGGAATTTTTATAGTAATTAATGTGAATGTCTCTGAATTGCAGTGACCGTAATATAAATAATAGAACATAATGTAAATATGTGAGTGTTCAAAATACACAAGCATTGGAAAAGTGGTTTGTATTCATTTTGCAATACGCGCTGTTCAGAAGGCAGTTATTACTACAGCGCCCACTAGGGGTCCCCAGTTTACATGAAATGACCCTTTCTGAGAAGCCACGTGTTTGCTCATTTAGGGAACAATCTCCTGTGGGGAGCAATTCTTTTCTAGAGCCGTTCCTTCATCACAGACCGTGGCTCTCGTGGAGTGTGTGCTTTGGGCGACCACGAGGGTCAGTGACGTGTAAGAAGCCCTGATGTTTCTGAGGCGTACTTTTGAAAACTACCTTCCTCCGTTGAGTCGCTCATCAAACTTGTGAGAGAAATATGTTTCTCCTTGTTACTACACAGTTCTCCAGAGTCTGAAGAAGTTGCTTTAATGTTTGAGACTTCCACTATATTTTCTGAAGAAAATACTGTATTATAAAGTTGTTCCAGAATTGGAGACTTTGGGGCCTTGTAAAGAAAGTCAAAATGTGAAATCCAAAGATTCAAATGTTAAAGGATTTGTTTTAAGTCCTTGGCAAAAGAACAATAGCCCGAGTCCTGTTGACGTTATTTTAAAGTTTACCCTGTGCTCTCAGCAGCCTCAGCACGTCAAACTTGCAGTGCTTGACCCCACCATCCCCAGAAAGAGCCAGAACCAGCACCATTTAGGGTGAGTGGGGTACCTGAAGCTGCCCTCAGACGCGTCAAGGGGTTCATGCCCCCTGGACCAGACTTCTGGTGGTGCCGGTCCCCATTCTCACAGCTCCCTCCCTGGTCTTCGAGCGCACAGAAAGCAGTCTGCGGGCAGCTGCAGGGCCTGTCTGATCGCGGGCCTACCCAATGCTCCTTTCTACGAACACTTCTGCCAGGCTTCACCATGGGCACCCTTTACCCCCACCGCCCCGCCTTATGCCTGCGCCTGCCCCTTTGGGAGTCTGGCTGTCAAGGTAGAAGTACTGTGCATGTCTTCTGCCTCCTCACAGTCCCAGACTAACCCATTTTGTTGGGTGAGCCTTTTCCTTTGTTCGTGTAAATTTAATTTTATTTACTTTTTCTTTAGAAATAGGTGTTGGAGAAATGATGGGGGGAAGCGATAACTGAACTGGCCGTCTTAAGGGGAAATTAGCCATGGTAGAAGCTTTCACTGGCCAGAGTCAATGCTGACCCACAGCAACCCTCTATGGGTTTCAGAGACTAACTGTTTATGGGAGTAGAAAGCCCAGTCTTTCTCCCTCAGAGCTGCTGGTGGTTTCGAACTGCCGACCATGGGGATCGCAGCCCAACTTGTAACCACTACACCACCAGGGCTCCTCATAGGATAAACTCAGAAAGATGAAATCTGTTGCTTAACTAGCTGGGTAACTTAGCAATGAAGCCATTTAATCAAGGGTGCTCACGTCTGTTCTCATTAACAGGGTTTCACACTGACAAAACAGAATTTCCCCTCCAACACGGAACAAATAACGCAAAGGTTGATTCCAGGTGGTTTGGGAGCAACCAGATGTTTACATATACTTACACCGCACTCTTCAATGCCCGGGTGTGGAATACCTGAACTTAGAACAAAAGCGCTGCTTCTGGGGAAGAGCTAAAGTGTGACTGGGCATCGAAGAGAGAGTCGACCCCACCCTTTCACTACAGTGGACACCGTTTTGCGGGAGGGCAAGGATCCTGTTCGCAGCCCCTGCCTGTCAGTGGTTGCAGTGCATCTGTAAATAAGCGGCCACAGGAGAAAGCTTGCACTTCACTGGGTCTCCCACCTGAGTGACGATCGGTCTGGAAGTAGGTGAGCAGTCTGGTAGATGGGCATACTGAATTTTAGAGAAATCAACAGGGACAGCATCAGAATGTTAGCCAAATGGAATGCCAAAGACCATTTAGAAGGCACATCATAGTTTTTTAAAATCATTTTATTGGGGGCTTGTGTGTCATCACAATCTACATCCATCCATGGTGTCAAGCACATTTGTACATATGTCGCCATCATCAATTTCAAAGCATTTTCTTTCTGCTTGAGTCCTTGGTATCAGCTCCTCATTTGTTTATCCTGCCCTCCTCCCTCCCTCTCTCCCTCCCTCCCTCATGAACCCTTGACAATTTATAAATTATTATTATTTTTTCATGTCTTGCACTGTTCTATGTCTCCCTTTACCCCCTTGTCTGTTGTCTATCCTCCTGGGTGGAGGTTATAGGAGGTCATTGTGATCAGTTCCCCTTCTCTTCCCCCCACCTTCCCCTTACCTCCTGGTATAGCTACTCTCAATATTGGTCCCAAGAAGTTTATCTGTCCTGTATTCCCTTTATTTTCCAGCTCTTATCTGTACCCATGTACATGCTCTGGTCAAGCCAGATTTGTAAGGTAGAATTAGGGTCATGATAGTGGGGGGAGGACGCATTAAAGAACCAGAGGAAAGCTGTATGTTTCCTTGGTGCTATACTGCACCCTGACTGACCCGTCTTCTCCCCAGGACCCTTCTGTAAGGGGATGTCCAATTACTTACAAATTGACTTTGGGCCTCTAGTCTGCAAACCCCCCCCCCCCCACCTCAGTCACATTATGATTTTTCGTGCTGGGTCTTTGATACCTGATACCTGATCCCATCGACACCTCATGATCACACAGGCTGATGTGCTTCTTCCATGTGGGCTTTGTTGCTTTTGAGCTAGATGGCCGCTTGTTTACCTTCAAGCCTTTAAGACCCCAGATGCAATATCTTTTGATAGCCAGGCACCCTCAGCTTTCTTCACCACATTTACTTATGTACCTGCTTTGTCTTCACTGATTGTGTGGGGAAGGTGAGCATCTCAGAGGAGCACATCGTATTTTATGACATGTTTTTAAGCCTGAATTCATTGTGAGGAAGTAACCTAAGACCTAGATCTTGGAAGTCCCAAGGCCAGACTTTTTATTTGAATATTCTAAGCTTAGGATGAAGATAGGTGTGTGAGAGGATCGTAGCAAAGACCGAACAAAAAGAGTTTCAGCAATTCATCCATAGAGGAGTCAAGGTCGGGACCCTGGAACAGGGCTTCCATAAGAGGAAGGGCCATGGTGTTTGTCCAGCTCCATTGCAGTTTGAACTATTTCCGTAGTGCAACCAATTCCAAGACAGGAACTTGTGTGTGAGCCCTGAAGGGCAATATAAGCAGCAGCATCCAGAGGTAACGAGGAACAGATCAGAGAGAGGGCTGATATTAGTGTGGTATCTGTCCCATAGATGCTGGTGGGTACTGAAATGAGCTCCGTTGATTAATTCCTTTTAATCTACGGGAATAGTATCAACTCTTGAAATTATACTTTTAAATATTTATTAAAGTCCTTAAGCTTATAAAAATCAAAGGTACTCATTAAGAATGATATTCAAACTGTAGAGGCCTGGCATTCTTAAGACCAAGGACTTTGGAGTCAGACGCCCTGGGTTCATGTCT